AAAAAAAAAAAAAAAAAAATTAAAAAAAAAAAAGAATTTTACATAAACAATCCTTATTCTTGTCATCTTTGGATCAGCCATTTTAGTTCTCTAACTTACGTTCGTTTTGCTCATTACCTGTCTAGGTAAAGCTCATCAAACTTAAACACTCAAGATTCTCACAGGTTATGGAGCTGTACTGCAGAGTGGTGGCTATCGGGACGCCAAGACTGATGAGCAAGGAGCTGCGATGCTGGCCGGGCAGTGGCACAAGGCTGTAATCCCAGGGCTCGAGGAAGCTGAGGCAGGAGGACTAGAACTTCTGAGGCCAGCCTCTGCAACTCAGTGACTTAGTGAGGCCGGTCTTGAAAAAGAAAATAGAAAGGGGAGGAGAGATGTAGCTCAGGGGCACAGCACATGCCTCGCAAGCACAAGCCCGAGTTCAATCCTGGCATAAAAGAAAAAAAGAAAGAAAATAAAAATGGATAGGGATATAGCTCAGTGCAAAGCCCTGCTTCAACTCTCAGTACCACATACACAGATCAGGGTAAAATTGTAAGGTCTGACCAAGGACAATCTATACTTGTCTATTAAGTAACCCTCTCCAGCGGAAGCTGACCAGGAAATGGAATTTGTCCCCTACAAGTCCTCAAGGATCAAACAAAATCAAAGGGTCAGAAACAATGGTGTTATGCACAATAAATACAGGCCCACAGCTGCTGCCCTAATTCTACCTGACACCAACTCTCCACGCTGGGAGGACACCATGGAGCAGACCTCATTTGGAGCAGGTGCAAATGACAGGTCACTCAGGAATGGACTGCAGCTCCACCAGGACATGGGCAGCGAAGGCCCCAGATGTCAGTGGCCTGCACACCGTCTGGAGGGCCAGCACGCTGGTCACTTCGGCGCAGCCACTCCACTGCTTTACAGAAGCAGCTGCAGACAGTGCACGGGCAGGCGGGCAAGGCCGTGTTCCAGTGGAATTTTATTATAGACGCCAACATTTAAGCTTCATATGTGTCATAAAATAGGACTTTTTTGTAAGTGATTAAGGACAGACCACTCTGAGTGCACAGGCAGAACAAACACAGGATTGGGGCAGGGTCCAGTGGCCACGCCATCATTTCCTGACCGCTGTCCTGAGATAAATTCTTCTGGACACATACCACTGGCAATTAGGTGACTTCGATTCCATTAACGAGTGACAAGAGTAACATATGTTGCATAAGGCTCTAAAGTGCTGGTGTATAACTGTTTGGGACAAAGCGTTAAAAGCTGTCTCTACTGAAATCAAATATGCTGCTAGAGGAACAAACTGGCCAAGTTTCAGTGACCTGCAATCGACAGCGGCTCCAGCGGCGGGGCTGCCCCGCGGCAGTAACACGGCGGGCTGCAGTCTAGACGCCTGCGCGCACTTCACACGGTGGTGCCCCGCATCGGGTGCGTGGTCTCGCTTTCCTGACTAGACCACACCAGCTTGATTTAATACAAAGGCACCCCATTGTAAAAATAGCCATTTGGGGCACAGGCCAGCATATAAAATTTCTGTCATGTAAAATTTAACCATTTACCTTTTAAAAAATAATTTTTCAACTTTCAATCTTTGTTACTCAGCGGCTGTGAGGATGTGCACTATGTCCACCTGTGAGGATGTAGCGAGAGACACCACTGCAGGCTGTAGTGCGAGCAACCCAACTAACCGGAAGTGTGACATTGTACTGACATAAAACAGCTAAACAAAGCTTTTACTTTCCGCACTTACTGTGCTAGGCTGCCTCCAAATCACACCCCCACCCTGCAAAAATCAGTCTGAGACTCATTGAAGTGTTGGACTCAAACCTATATTTGCAGTTTCTAAAACATTGATCCACAGGCCACTGTCCGGCAACAAGTGTGGCAGGGAAAGCAAGCGCAGAGAACCCTGCGTCCCCTCCCAGGAGCGTCCTTTAAAAACACACGCGAGCCAACGTCCACATGTCCAGCGCGATCGATGGCATGAACACGCTGGCACGCCGCCCCGGGTCCCAGGTGTCCGCCAACTACCTGTTGTAAGCCCGCTCTTTTTTGGATTTCTCCAGGGCTTTGTCCATCGTTTTCTCGTTCTCGCCCCGACACTTGGGACAGTACCACTTGCCCTTTGGTTTATGGTTGAGCCCCACGCACGAGAAGTGGAACCACTCGATGGGGCACTCGTCGTTGTCGCAGCCTATCATCTCTCCATAGGAGACCTGATTGCACAGACAGTACGTGGGCTCGTTGGGGTCGATGGGGAGGTCTGCGGGGGATGCCTCCCTCTCCGCTTTGGCCTTGGAACGCTTTTTCTTCTTTGAGGTCTTCGCTTTCTTCTCCTTGGGTGTTCCTGAGGTGAGGTCGTCGTGCTCATGATTATTAGAGGCGTTCTCTCGGTTCTCGTTATTGCGCTGCCGCCTGGACCGCTTGTTGTTGGGCTTTTCTGCTGAGCTGATTGTCTCGTTCTTGGACTTATCTTGGCCAGCCTTGCCAAGGCTGCCAGCGGTGTCGCCGAGCTCCTGGCGGGCCCCGAAGAGCTCCACGTGGCTGTCCACCTGCCTGGCCCGGCTCTCCACCAGCTCTGCCATCTGACCCACGATCTGGATCTTCTCATCTCCCAGCTCCTGGCTGCGAATCAGGGCCCGCTGGATGCAGTGCAGCAGCCGCCGCTTCTGGGTGCCGTCCGGCTCGCGCTTGAACTTCTCATAGTACTCGTCCAGCTCCTTCAGGATCTCTGCGAACAGAGAAAGCGCACATTACACAGTGCGTCGCACCGCGGAGGGCCCGCTCAGCCTCTGGGGAATGAAGGGTTAACTGGAGAGGACAGAAGGGGGGGGGGTTGTTTCCAAAGTAGAAATCCTGCCACCTGCACGTCTTTTTAAACTCGATGACAGCGCGTGTCCGGATTACAGTTCCCATCTCGGCCATACCACCCTGAACAAACTGATCTACAGCTCCCAGGGCTTAGCCCCGGGGACAGAGCCTGCGATCCAGACAAGGGCACGGAGGCCCTCAGGGCAGGGGTCACTTGGGGCAGGTCCTGCATCTCGGCCTTCAATACTACCGAAAACAAGTACTGTCCGGTTGTAATAAACCTGAACCACAACTTAAAGCTAAAGCACAGCTTAGTTTTGCTTTAACTTACTTTTACATTTATTGCTTACAACGTCATTTTTAGGGCAGTAGAAGTAAGCTACAGATTAATAACATGAGAAACAAAACACTTCTGCTATTGATTCTAAACTTTCCTACACAAGCTAGAAACAGCGTGTGTGATTCAGAAGTATAGTTTGGCAAGTAAAGTTAGGTAATTCCTCAGGAAAGATGATAGAACGATATAATTAAAACACAGGAGCTAAATATACATGCATGTATTAACGTATTTGGTTGTTGAGGGTCTCACTATGCAGCTTGGACTCACAGTGATCCTCCAGCTTTCAGCTTCCCCAGCGCTAGGATTACAGCTGTGCACCACGACATCAGGACGCTGGCCGGCCCAGTGGTCCCCCCACCCCTCAAGCATGTGGTGCCAGCAATCAAACTGGCGCGCCGCACTTGCCTGAGCTTGTCAAAGGAGGCACTTTGGTCTGATGAGCTATCTCCTAGCAACTAAATATTCTTGACAAAAGCCTAGTTAGGATGGCTCGGTAGAATAAGCGCTTCCCTGGCAAGCACAAGGCCCTGAGTTCAATCCCTGGTTCTGAAAGAAAAAAAAAAAAGCCTATTTAGATACAAAAAGTCCCCAAATTATTTTTCTTGAACAATAAACAGCACCAGATTTTTCTCCTCAAGTACTGCTGTGTCCTAACACCAGCTCTCCAGCTAGACGGCAAGTGGGGGTGGAGGGCTGGAGATGTCAGGGACACTGCACACCACCTTTGCAGACCATAAGGAGAAGCTTCAACCTGGCTCTACAATAAACATGTGAGCGCGGGCCGTGCTGAAGCACACTGAAATAATAAAGGACTGTATCGGGCTCTGAAGGTGTTTCCTACATGAACTATGCAGACTGTCATCATTAAGGAGGGACACCAGGGTCTCACAGTCTACCCTAACTCATTCTGCAAATCTACTCATCTAACTCTGGCAAGTCTGATGTCAAAGTGTGATTTTTAAAAATGGGCTGCAAGTTTCAGAGCTGTATCTGGCTTAACCAGTAATCGAATTTCTGAGAAGATACAATGCGGTCATACTGCTAACACAAGCTTCCTCTACGCCACAAGAAGGGCACGTCCAAGTGAGGTCTCCCCTGCAGGGAGTTACCAGGAAGCAACTCCCACCTACACATCGGAGCGTCTCTGTCAAAACAGCCCCTGAAGGCTGGCAGTACAGCTCAGCGGCGCAGTGCCTGCCTGGCAAGGTGAGGTTCTGCGTTTCATTCCTGGTACAAATAACAAAACAAAACAAAACAAAAATAAAAACAAAAACAGCCACTGGGAGCAATAAAAGAGCAGCGACACCAGGCCCCGTGCTTCACAAAACGGCTGACCCTGTAAAATGTTCTACAATAAAAACCCCCACCAGCATTACAGAAAGAACCGGGACCGGTGCAATTTGCACCGCCCGACTACTGCTGTGTATTTCTGTCTCACACAAGCCCACATTCCAGTACTTCAAGAGCAGGTCTTCGTCTGGCGAATCAGTCCTCCTCGCGGGTGGCACACCGACAGTGACCAGGTGCCGCCGGCCGCCGAGGGCGGGTGCCTCGGCCAGCGACAGCGAAACCACCCGCTTCCCCGCGGCGCGCAGACGTCGCCCTGACTGCCCGGGGACAGAAGCTGAACCGCCGCTCCGCGAAGTGCCCTCAGGCAGCAGGCCCCCTGAGGGGAGGGCGCACCCTCGGGCCGGCGGAGAGGTGGCCCGCAGCTCCTGCGGATTACCGAGCCAGAGCCCGCAGCCCGAAACGACACACATGATCACAGGTGACGCCTGCAATCTTCGGCCGGAAGTGGCCGGACTCCGTCAAAGACTTGGGCGGGAAGGGGCAGGGCAGACTCCCGCCAATGGAAAGAGACAAGTACGCCCCGCCCCGAGAGCCGCCGCCAATAAGAAACAGGGAGCCAGAGGGCGGAGGCCAGAGAACCACCAATCTAAGTGCAAGACCTGACCGCAGAGCCCACCCCAGTAGCACCAGGAGCCAACCCTAGGCCGGAGGCCGAACGACCCGAAAGCTTTTAAACTCGACCTCCTCCCTACGCCCCACCCTCTCCGAAAGAGGAAAAAAGAAGACAGGGGAAACAGACCCATGCCACTCATTGAGCAAGCCCCACCCTTACCCGGCGCAGTGACCAATCGCACTACAATTGACTGATAAGGACATTCCACGGGAGACGTCACAACCAATCATAGGGAGGCTGAGGCGGAACGTTCAGCAATATGCTAATGAAGTTCCTATAAAAAACGCTGCGAAGCTACGTCTTCGGCAGAGCGCGCAAGGGCGCTTTACTTAGTGCAGGTCTGGTGTACGTTTCGGCAAGCGATAGCTTCCACTCCCCCGCCCCAACTTGTCGGTTTCCCTGCTGCGCAGCCCTGTAAACATTAGTAAACTCAGAACAACGACCCACATTCAAAACGGGACCTCCAACGCCTCTGCTGATCGCACAGGAAAGTTTCCCCAACAGCCTGCAATTCCCGGCGGGCACGGAGCCTGCACCGCTCTCCGACACTCTGGGCGGCCGGGTCTGCACGGCAGGACCCACAGGTCCCCTCCCCAGCCTCGTTCCGCTCCGAGCCGCCTGAGCGAAGCACAGATGGGCGCCTTCCTCGTTTGCGCTCCTCCCCTCCCCTCCCCATCCACCGCACAACCGAAAAAAGCCCTCGTCCTCCGCAAACTACCCGGCGGCATCGCCCCTCTCAGTCGGCCCCACTCTGCCGCGTCCAGCGCCAAGGGAGCCTTGGCGGGGGCGGCGAGCGACCCCGAGCTCGGACAGCACGAGGACTTTATATAACGTGGCTCCGGGACCGGGCCGGGGGCGGCGGCGAGGGGTCGGGGGCGGCGTCGGTCCAGCACGCGCGAACTGCGGCCGCCCCTCCGTTGCCCCCTCCCCCGCCCCACCGCCGCCTCGCTCACTACAAAGAGCGCTCTGGCTGCGCAGCCTGCAGCGAGCCGCTCGCTCCTTCCTCCTCGGGCCCCGGCCCCGCACCGGACCTCGACCGATCGGAGGCGCCAGCCCTTTTGTTCCCGCCCCGTGGACCGCCGCTGGCCGGTGCAGCAGGACCGGCCGCCCAACGCGCGGACCCGGTGGCCGCAGCCGCCCCCGCCCATCCATCACCGCCGTACCTTGGTATTTCGCGTCGATCTCCCGCATCAGCGAGACGTTCCTCTGCAGGTCGAAAGGCAGGGACTCGATGGAGTCCAGGTAGTCCTCCACATAGTTCACCAGGTGGATCTGCTCCCCGTTGGCAGGACTCAACATGGTTCACCCCGGAGGTCCCCGGCGACTCGGCGCGGCTTTCCGCTTCCTCCAACCCCCGCCCCCCTCCAAAACAGCACTGCAAAATGCTCGGCGCTTGCCCTCCCGGGCCCCCCGCCGGCTCCGGCCCTCCCGACCGCCGCTACATCGGCCGCCCTGGGGCCGCGGGGACCCCGGCGCCTGGGC